GACTTCAGGGATGCTACTGGCTTCGTTGTGACAACGCACTTGCTCACATCTCTCGTCTGGGAAACGATTTGTTGCAGAAACACAGGGCTCTGAGGATGGGACAACCGTCTTTGAGTCCTGATATTAATCCTACTGAGCACCTGTGGCATAAATTGGAATGTCCATTGCAGAGGAGAACCAATTCCTAAATAATCTTGACCAATTCCGCCACGCTCTTTTGGGTGAATGGGACAATATCCCACAAAACAGAATTGTTACCCGTGTTGAAGACTTGTCGCGCCATCTACAGGAGATAATTGCAGTACGCAGTAGACGCACACGCTGTTAGGCACGTGACCTTTAACAAGCACACCCTATAGACATTTCTTTACATCTGTAGAAGTCACAGTGAAACAGTCGTGTGGTTGAAGCCTTGATAATGGCATTTGTGCATGCATGTCTGAGGTTTTCGTGTACTAGCCAGTTATTTCAAACACAAACGCACACGACTTGATATAATTTGTAAGTTAATAAATCTCAAAGACATGCTACATACTTTACAAAAAAAAAAAAAAAAAAAAAAAAAAAAAAAATTACAAAAAACGAATTGCCCTCAGCCCCCACCCCCCACAAAAATATATTTTATTATTTTTATTTTAATTACATAAACATATTCGAGTACATTGTGTGTCGTAGAGGGAGCTTTTCTGTTTGAAAGCTAAGAGAAGACCACAGGACCACAGAGTAAATGATCAGTTCGTGACTTATCCAGGGTGCTGTGGTAACCAGCCTAGCTGTAACCCACCTCACTATTTACAGCTATTCTTATATTATCCAGGGGTCATCTGCTGACCAGGAAACCGTATGGATACCAAAGAAGGTTGGCCGTGTTTTCAGTAAAGCAATGAAAAGTTATAATTAATTTTTTTTGTCCCTTGCGTGAGATTCACAATTTTTCGCCCCATTTTAACTATAGACATACGTAATAAATGGTGATCACATTTAATAAAGACAAATATTGATAGTCACACATACTGAGATTCCAGCTTGAAAAAAAAAAAACTTCTAAATGCAGGGTTTCATTCCCATATAAATGAGGTTGGGCGCCGGGCTAGAAGGACAGTCTTAGACAGTAATCCTTGTACAAAGACTGTGGTTGGTATTTTTCTCTTCTTGGTAAAATGCAGTTTAAGCTGGGTGTTAGCTTTGTGCTTTTGTTGGTGGCCCTTTCATTCGTAGAGGTAAGGTATTGATTGGTTTATTTTCAGTCTCGGAGGATCTAGAGTTATCTTTTGTACACGTGTAAATGGACATCCATTCCTGTTTTAATTTAGTTATATCAGCACATGAGGACTGGTTGAAGGACTCGTGATGAGTGTTTCATCCCTAGTAGTTTTATATATATTTAAGATAGACAGTGCTAAAATTATTTTATTTCTCAGTTCTGTGCATTAAGTGAGCCTTTGAAAAAACTGTTATCCATGTTTGCAGCTCTCTCTCTCTCTCTCTCTCTCTGACTTGTGACATGTAGCAAATGATCCACTTAGACTGATGATGTCTAAAGCCCCGTCGGGGTTTGTTACTTTTATTTTTTCATCTTTAGGCTCGGTTTCGACCCAGAGCTTGTTCTTTGCCTGCAGACCCTGGTAACTGCTTAGCGTATTTTCCAAGATACTACTTTAACGGATTTATCTGTCGAAGATTTATCTACGGCGGCTGCGGAGGCAACGGCAATAACTTCCGCACCTTTGCTGCGTGTATGAGAACTTGTTTCTTTAAGTACTAAGTAAGTGCTCTCACTTCCTTTTCCATGCGTTTGCTTGTATCTTTGATTTGTCATTCTTCTCTTTTCCTCATTGCTCTCTCCCCTTTCTCTTTTTTATTCCCTTCTTCTTTTCTTATTAGCGGCTAAATTTCTTTAAAATATTTGGTTATTCAATGATATATAAGGGTTAGCAGCGGCACGCACTTTGCGGATCAGTTATGACATGATTTGAATACTTATTTTCTATTTCTATATGTTACGCTTGTCTTGCCTATAAATAAGCTCATTTTTGAGTCTATCGTACATGTATATGCCTCCCTTACATAGCCGCTTATAGATTAATATGGCTTCGATACGTG